CATTATCTTTTTTCGTATTCTGGTACTTCGGTTTTTTATGACTCGATCCTTATAGTACGGGTGCATTTTTGACAATGTTTTTAAGAAGTCGTGAATATCTTCGGTGTATGTTTTCACTAGACTGAGAAGGTCTTTGTGCTCATATGAGTTTTCAAAAAAGTCTACGATCTGATCAAAGCTTAATTTGAGAGTTTCTTCTTTAAATACAGTTTTTGCTGGCTCTAATAACTGTTCTACTTCATTATAAGTTTTTGGTCTTTTGAAGGGTTTTGCCTTTGAAGCGATGAAAGGCTCTGCGAATACTTCAGTGGCGGGGGGTGTATTTGCATCGGAAAAGTTTCGTTTAGCACTTGTGATATCGGTTTCCATTGGTTTTTGGAAAGTTTTCTCCTGGTTTTCTTTATTTGAGTCATTTTTGTTTAGATTTTCAGGTAATTTTGTCGTTTCTTTTGATAAAATAGTCGTTGCAGAAGGTGTTTCAGGGGTTGTAGTGATATTCTGAGGTAAGGTCGTATTGGGAGGATTTGGGCAGTTATTAGCGAAATGGCCCTTTAGATTACAAGAAGTGCATTCTTGACTTTCATGTGACATAAAGATACGATAACTTGTGTTATCGTGTGTCACAACTACAGAATCAGGAACGATGGTGCAGGGTGGAGATATATACACTTGACGACGAAAACTTAAGATATGTTTGTATGCTGGATTAGAGGAACCTATTCGTAAGAAACTCAGAGATGATGTTAGTGTATAGCCAAGTTGTTTTAATTCATGTTCGAGGATTTCGTGTGGAATAGAGGGGCAGACATTTGATAATAGTAATCGTTGACTGGGTATTATTAATGGACGGGTTTGAACTTCTTCTCCATTTACTGCGATTATTCCTCGATGTTGTTTCATGAATTCATCTACGATAGTTTTGCTTGATAAGTACATACATATTCGGTTGTTGGATATTCTTGAACAGAATAAGATGTTCTTCGGATTAACATTATTTCCAATGGCTAAGAGATATTCTTCTAGTTTAACACCATTTAAGGAATTAAAAACAATAGCTTGTTCTTTTGATGGAAAAGCGGTGGGTTGTTGTTGAGTGACGGCAGTTGAATAGGTGTAAGGTTTATTAATGTTATCGTTGTTGGTTGAAGTCATCATTTATAATATTGTTGATTCGGAAAATGTTTCATTTAAAAATTTTTAAAGCCGGACCTGCTTTTTCTACAGGTTCGACTAATTAGGTAGTTTTGCTAATCTATTAAAGGTTAAATTTACCTTGTTTACGATTATTTTATTTATCAAATTATAGAATAAAATTATATACAAGAGTTTTTTATTCTTACTTTTTCGTGATGTGATTTATCACTTTTCACTAACACTTTTTATCAACTTTGATTCAATAAATTTGGTCTTTATTCACAAAATATTGAAACCTTTATTGGAGCTGAATAACACATGTGTTTATCACACTGTTGCCAGGATTGGCCTCCTTAAAACATATTGGTTATATAGAGTGTTTGGTAAAACAATCTAAACAAAGTTGTGGTTGACCTTCACAAGTGTAACAGTATATTACCAATTTTTTGACTCGATTTTTTGTTATGTTTTCCCGAACCTTTTCTTTATGACAACCTTTTGTTGTTTTGTTATTGTTCCCTTTCGGAATCATTCTGTAACTCAATGTTTTCTTTATAAGTTAAGAGCGACTTTATTATATGCTCTCTAAATTTAGTTATTTTTATCTTTTTATCGCTTAGTTGGTTGAAAATAATGTGTGAATTTTAAGATTGACGTACCAAGAAAATATTGGTAATGAAAGTATTTTCGTTGTTTGCCAGATGCACCTTTTTCAACTTGGCACCATGAAATTTTTTAAACATTTTTTGTGATAGTCAACCTGTTAATCTTTTAATGTTACTTATAAGCGCGTAATATAAGAAATATTAAAGTTCTTATAAATGTTTATTAAACTATAAAGTTAGCCCTTTTTAAACTGTTTTTTAAATAACAATTTTACGACGAACAACGATATCGTCAAATCGTCATGGAAGCTACCCACGCCTAAACCTTGGGCACGGTACTTAAAGAAGAAGCAGTTGAAATTTTTCTATTATATCTTAAAAAAGCCTTAAAGAATTGAATACCATTTGTCAAATACATCTGGAGTTACTTATTGGGCAAGCACAGTTGTCCCAAAAAATAGAATAACTTACAAAGTATTTTGTCGATCGAGCTGAGATTTTTTTTATTATTGAGTTAATGCCTCGACAACTAAGATCAGTGGCATGGTACAGTCAGGTACCTAGTGTAGTGTGTGTGTGTGTGTAGAGTAATTGTCTTGATACTTAGCAAAGTCGACGTCATTGTCTTTGCTAAGAGACGCTAATTGTATCCGAACGTCTGCGGTCCCTCCGGTGAGTATCGATCGCACAAGGATAGAAATTATTTTAATTCATTAATTTTTATTGAACGAAAATTTCTCCACCCAGATGAGATTCGAACTCACGATCTTTAGGTTTAAAGGTAGGCGCTCTTACCACTGAACCACAGAGGGGGTTAAGCTGACATTTAGCAGACTTAAATAACTTATTAATTGTCATAACTTCAAGTAACTGTATTAAATGTGAATAGTCAAGAATCCAAATTTTATGTACATTCATACTGCAAAAATTATGGTTTTTTCTAAACATCTTGGACAACTGTTTATGTATTTTATTTTAGAAGCTCTTAAATAAAATAAATTGTTAAGATCTACAATTTTCAATTTATCCATTTTAATTGTGTAAGAAACGATTTATAGGTAAAAAAATGATTTTTTCACTTTTTATGATTGTTTAAAAAGAACAAATCAAAATCAGCTTCTGTCTTTAAGGATTTGTGATCAGCTATTTATCTTATATCTACCTATTAGAATTCTTAACAACCTGTATAATATTTTAACGTGAAATGGATGATTTCACGTAAAATGACTTTTTCATATATAAAATGGGGTATGTAGGTATTACAATACCTTGTCTATATATCAACTACATTATTATTTGAAAAAACTATTTCTGGTGCAATTTGAGTATGTCCTTGGTAAATATTTTACACACACAACATTTTTATAAAAAAAAAGTATTAAAATATTATATTTTTAAATGCGGCAATATCTACAAAGTTAGTATTTAGTATAATTTAACATTCTCTCTACAAATAGTTAAAAACATTATTTGTGATACTAATCTCTAAAATGCAGTCTACGTATTAAAGCATTCTAGCTACATTAATATTCTTTAATTTATTAAGACTACTTACCCATGTATTATTACAAATTAGTATTTACAAGAATTTATGGAAACGTTTTATTCTGGTAGAAGTTGGAAAATATCTAAGGAACGTGAACATTAGAAGACAAAAAAATGTGTGATATATTAATAGTCATATTAGAAGGGTTAGAAATGGTTACATACCATATTCAATTTTTAGTACATAAAAGTTTTACGGAATGTCCTAAAATTCCTTTTTATTATCAGTCTAAGACAAAAGAAGGTGCTGCATTTACCAAACATGGAAACTAACTTGGAAGAGCTTTTTTCTTTAACAACATGGTTCAAATCTCAATTTTACGATTAGTCAATAATAACTTTAAACTTTATTCAAAACTAACTACAAAAAATTGCATTAACTACGAATATAAAATAAAAGAAATATTTATATTTAACATTCTTATAGTTTTAGTGCTTATTGGTATAAATTTTTTAAGCTTCTTTTTTATTAAAGTAATATAGATACCAAAATCAAATATTATGGTATGAAAAAAGTGAATACTTATTATTAGGAAAGTCAAGTAATAATTTACGACAAAGGAAAACAAAAACGAAGAATAAAATATATATCGTTTAAAAAGATATATCTTTATACTGTATAATTGTAAGACATTAGATCTTAAGTCAAATATCAATATAAATAAGACCCATAGTCTTATCCTATACAAACTTAAGCAAAGATTACAGTAAGTTCGCCATAATAAGCTAGGTGTTAATATTATTAAACAATTTTAGTCAGTCGTTTTTTTTTTCCTGTTGATAATGTCATGTAATAGCTGATATTAACGAAAAGGGGTTGAAAGTGTTAGGTAGTTTGTGTGAAAGTGGTTTTTCTCAAATATGTGTGGGAGGAAAAAAATAGTATCTGGTGATAGTAAGACATTGGTAGATATTATGACAATTGGACGCCAACCAACTCGGAGTGGTGAAGAGACCTAAGGTCAAAGGTCTTTTCCTCATAGACACCTCGTCCTGGCTTAACTTCGTTAGAATATTATGAATTCAACACAGGTATAAGAGGTACATGTATGCATATTATCCTTTTTTTTTCTTTAAATATATAAAAATAGACTCTGTATTTTAATTTGGGGACTACTTGCCATGTTGGACAGACACACTTAATTTTGGTTGTACGCTATTAATGGATTGGATTAGACCCGAGTAAATTGCTAAATATGGTTAACTTATTCATTCGCACTAGGAAAAACAAATTAACATAACTTCTCAGGATATAATGACGACTATATGAATGACATAAACAACAATTTTTTTTAATAATATTGAATCATTAAAAACAATTTTTTTTTAAATAATATTGAATCAATAAACTTCCTTTACACTACTAATTCTAATGGATATGAATGAGTACATTATGGATTCTTATGGCTGAAATTTAGGTCGAATAATAAACTCATATATCTGCATTCAAATAAAGTACTTTAATAATTTAACCGGTAGCTATATCAAAAATAAAAATAAATTTTTTTTTGTAATATTTTTCTAAGATTTGACCAAATTTATACCAACTGTAACGTATTTTAATAAGTATATTATTTATGATTCAGTTTATTAACTATTTTTTTTTTGTAACTTCTTAAGTTATTCGTAGTTAATAGCAAACATATCAAAATATCTAAAAAAAACTGTAACGACTACTTCCATCAATCCAAAAATTTGAAATAACACCCAAGTTAGTTAAAAGTTAATATTCACATTTCGGTGGTGCACATTGAACGGTGGTACCTTGGCCTGGGACGAGGAATATGGTTCATCAAATAGAGCCCAAATTTTCGGTTTAAGCTTTTGCCACCTGCTAAGAGTACCAGCATAAAAAGCTTCCTCATATCCAAACATTCTAGCTACCTCTTCATCTGTTGGTCTGGCAGAATCTATATCCAATTTATCTAAGATTGCTAGTGTTGCCTGAAATTAAAAAAAAGAAACTTTTATTTTGTGTGCCAAACTTATTTCGTTCTACATAATAATATAGAATCTTGGTACTATACAACATAGAATGTTATACTTAATAATTTTAATATTGACAAAAATAATTTAAAAGTGTTTCGCTTGGGAAGATATATGGGAAACAAGAGTAGGCCGCTCAAAATTATTATTAATTCAAAAAAAGATGCCAAATTTGTTTTTCAGAATAAACAATTAATTTCTATTACAGGCATCAGAATATTTGGTGATCAAAAGTGGAGGCAAAAAAAATATTGTTAGACAGGAAGTGCGATTTTTAGAGGCCACATTAAACAAGGAAAGAGAGTCTCTCTCCTTGTTTGACATCAAATTTAGTTGGGTTATGCTATTGTTTGTCCCAAATGTCACATGAAATCTTATTTATATTGAAGTTTTTGAACAATTGTGTCGCATTTTAGACTATTATCGTTAATAATTAATTAAAACTTTCTCGTCTAAGACACATTCTGAAAAATATTATATAGCTACTGTTAATAAGTGTCGGAAAATTTAAATTTGGCGCATTCGCATTTCCGGATATGTCCGCCATCAGAGGCCACTTTTTTGGTCTCCTTTTCATAAGGATTAGATTCCCTCTTTTGTCTTTTTGCTCGATGGTTGTGACTCAATGAGTAGATACACTGGAGGTGTTATGCTATACATCAACAAAAATTATAATTTTTCAAATTTGAAAACATTTGAAAACATAATTATTGGTGCAAAGTAATAAAAGTTTTCGTTAAATCCATGGTTTACTTGGTGGGGTGTTTATACCATTCACCATCCAGTTCTGATGCTAAATTTATTGAAGATTTGGAAGAAATATGTGATGCCTCATTTACTACAAACTACCGTTATGTGTTAGTTGGTGATTTTAATATTGACTTGTTGGCTAGTAATTTCTATGGTGAAAAAATTTAAAAATTGTTTCGGCTTATGGGATAAAATAATATATTAGTGATCTTACCCGTATTATTGACACTAGTAAAACTTTGGTAGAATATGTACTTTCTAATTAAAATAATATAAGTGCTTGTGTTCACAATTGTCCAAAAATGACTGACCATTCTGTTTTTTCAGTAAATATCTCCAATAAAAATAGTTATAATATATCTGATGGTAATATATCCAAGTTTGGAAATTTATGTAATTAAAACTTAGATAAAATCAAAACTAATCTTATCATGTGTCACCTTAATTTAGATTATGTTGATCGTAATATCATTTACCAGGAAATTTTACAAAATTGTGAAAATGTCGCACGTTCCGAAGAAAAGTGTAATAAATCACATTTTTTTCTATCTTCACTTTTCTACAGGAATGGATAGTACATTAAATGCTCTATCTAAGAACAAACCCGTAATAATTTAAGTTCAATAGTTATTGCATAGATGGCGAAAGAATCACTATTCTTCGGAGCAGGTTCATCGGCATATTCCGATGAAAACACTAATAAATCGCAGTTATCGTGGTATGCACTGCGGCACTCCGCTGTATTACCGATCAAAAGTGTAATAAGTGTAATTATTACTGTCTATTTTAGAATTGTTGTAAACTTTAGTTTCGTGTTGTCCCGGTAAAAGTGTAACATTTCGTGTTGCTACTCTTATTATCGGAATATTTGCCAATATTTCCACTTTACGTTCGGTGAAAAGTGTAATATTTGTAGTTATTGCTGTTTAGTTTGGAAGAGTTTACACTTTTATTTCGCGTTTTCCGAGGAAGACCGAATATTCGAGTTGTTCTCATCGAATATTTAGTTATCACTTGACTTCGTTGAAGAAAAAAGGCGAGAAAAAGGATTCGTAAGAAAACAGAGTGGATAAAATTAAAAACTAAGATATTGCGGAATATGGGTAAAGAGTATATGTCATGTTCAAACTCCAAAAAGGTTATACCATCGAGAAACGTACAGGCTGCATGTACTGACCAAATGCAGATTCAAATGTAGCGAGAAAATCGAACAAGATGAGAGAGTGCATATTTTTAAATGAGTTTTATAGTTTGAGTGATATTAACAAAACAAGAGAACTTATAAATCGAAATATGGAAACTATACAACCAAACTCCAGGTACCAAAATCCTAACAAGAGGCGACTGAATAATGCATTTTATTTCCAAGTGAATCAAAAGAAAATCCAAGTATGTAAACTATTTTAAAAAAACTTTAAATATAAATGATAGAACAATTGATACAGTAATAAAAAAGCGCACTTCAGCCGGATCAGTAAGTGAAGACAGAAGAGGAAAGCATGGTAAACATCGTCAAGTAGATTCCAATATAAAAAATGACATCCGAGAACATATTTAGTCAATTGCGAAAATTGAAAGCCACTACTTAAGGGCACAGACTACTAGAGATTTTATAGAAGGCGGTAAGTGTTGCAGATTTATATAGGGATTATGTTACCCAATGTAAGGAAGCCAATAAACCTTTTGGAAACTACCATATGTATTCTGACAATTTCAACACAGAATTTAATATATCCTTCTTTGTCCCGAAAAAGGATCAATGCAACCTTTGCTTCTTATTTAGTAACGCCAGCGAAGCTGAAAAAATGAATCTCGAGCGTGAATATCAAAAACATCAAGAAGAAAAAATATTGTCTAGAGCTGAAAAGGAAAGCGACAAAACAAAGTGTAGCGAGAACTTTTTAGTCGCATGTTTTGATATGCAAGCGGTGTTCCAGCTGCCAAATGGTGACACATCAATCTTCTATTATAGATCAAAACTAAATACAATGAACTTAACTATCACAGAATTGGTAGCGGATAATACATGGTGCTTTGTATGGCATGAAGGCCAAGGCGGAAAAGGAGTGACTGAAGTGGTTTCATGTCTTTTAAAGTGTCTAGAGCATAAGTCCAAAACCATCAATTCTCCAAATTTGGAAATAGTCTTGTATAGCGACAATTGTGCAGCACAACAAAAAAATAGGTAAGAATCGGACATTTAATTCAACGGAATTCTCTCAAGGTTTCTTCTTCTTTATTTAAGATTTTTAATAGCAACACTCATTTATGCAGTACAGAAATTTCAGATTAGAGAAATTACACACAATTAGACATTAAAAAAAGGTTACAATTCGGAACGACAACTGACTGAGAAAAAAGAGACGACCTACAGTTTTTGGCGAAAAAAGGGTATATTCCTAAGTAATTACCAAGTATTCTATGATTCATTATGTTAAAATATCCATGTAAAATTTAGAAGCAGATAATTTCAGTTTATACAGTATTGTATAAACATAAATATATATGTTGTATCTTTAAATTCTTTTATATAGATTTTAACTATTTTTCGAAGAAAACTGTACATATCAATTTTTTTTTAAATTACTCATTATCTTTAATGATTTAGGTAGATTATAAAATAATAACTTAGTTACTCTTTTCTAATGCTATTTGAAAATATATAAATTCACTTCCGGGTTCATCTATTCATATTTTAAAAATGACAAAAATTGTTTTTGCTCTCCTGAAAAATTTTGTTATTTTGACTTATTACACTTTTCTTAGGAACGTGCGATGTAATCAATGGCATAATACCAATTGTAACATGTCAGTTTCAATCAAAATTACCTTGGTTTAATCAGGAGGTGTTTAAACAAATTAAACAACGCGATGGTGATAAAGATTTTAAAAAAAATATTGACGTTATTAAAAAACAACATAAATGGCAGATTTTTGCCGTTAAAAAGCAACATAAAGAGCGGTTGTATTTTAACAAAATAGACATGTATAGAAACAATCCAAAACAAACGTAGAAAACTTTTAAAAAAGTCGAGAAATGCCAAACACTGTAATCTTTGAAACTACTACTGGCCTAAAACGGTTAACAAATAGCGTAGAAATAGCTAGCAGTTTTAATGAGTATCTTGTTGAAAGCATTGAAAGTATTGTTTAAACTATTGATAATTCCGAAGCATGGTGTAATGTAAATAGTAATCTATATTTAAATTTTGAAAAGTTTGAAGAGCTTTTTATGCAGGATTTGCGAAAAATTCTTGGCAATTTATTTATTAAATTCTCACTACATGAAACGTTAAATTGCAGAATAGTGAAGGAAGTTTTTAAAACCATTGGGCACGTTATTTTAAATTTAATTAATACATCTCTTACTACGGGTAAATTTCCTTATGTATTAAAACTAAGTATTATCACCCCTATTCAAAAAATTCCCAACACTATCAAAGCTGAAGAATTTCGACCAATCAATACTTTACCTCCTATAGAGAAAATATTAGAAAATGCTGTTTATGAACAATTATTACAATATGTAGCAAAAAATAAACAGGTTTTCGTAAACAATTCTCTTGTGAATCAGCGTTACAAGTTACATTATGTCACATAAAGAGTAATCTAGATAAAAATAAGTACGTAGTCGGTGTGTTTCTTGATTTAACCCTTAACTACTGACGTGGATGTTTCAGGACGTAGACTCTGACATGCGGTATGTCATACCGTTGCCTATTCTCCTTTGTTTTTAATATGAATTTATCTTATATCACTGTATTTGTTTTTTATATCAACTACGGAATGATTCTTTACATTGCTGTAGCATAATATACTGCTACAAGTAAAATAAACTTTACTTTTTCAAGAATATTATGAATGCATGCATAATATTTAAAAAAATGGTGGACGTTACTACAAAATCGTTTATAAACTAAATTACAAGAAAAATTGATTACTTGTGACTAACAAATGGTAAAATAATGTTAAAAGAAACAGACTAATGATTTAAATTTAATGAGAAACTAAAATACAAAATTCTGACAAAAACCAAAAATTAAAATAAAATAACTAGCCATTATGCGCGCAAGGTCCGCAATTTTTCTTTGTACACTGTAAGCACACTGGTTTTCCACAAGAAAAGCACACATAAAAAGTCTTTCGCTTTAATGCACTTGGGCATAAGTAACACGTCTTCTTTTTCTCAAGCCTTTCTTCAAAATCTG